GCCAGGATGTTCTCAATCTTCTGACCTCGTGGTCCACCCACCTCGGCCTCCCAAAGTGCTAGGATTACAGGTGTGAACCACTGTGCCCAGCCTATTTTATTTTTTTCTTTTTGAGATCGAGTCTTGCTTTGTCACCAGGCTGGAGTGTAGTGGTGTGATCTTGGCTCACTGCAACCTCCGTCTCCCAGGTTCAAGTGATTCCCTGCCTCAGCCTCCTGAGTAGCTGGCACTATAGGTGCATGCTACCATGCCCGGCTAATTTTTTGTATTTTAGTATACAGGGTTTCACCATGGCTAGGATGGCCTCGATCTCTTGACCTCCCAAAGTGCTAGGATTACAGGCATGAGCCACGGCACCCGGCCTCATGTTTGTATTTTTAGTAGAGATGGGGTTTTACCATGTTACCAGACTGGTCTTGAACTCCTGACCTCATGTGATCAGGCCACTTCGGGCTCCCAAAGTGCTGGGATTACAGGCATGAGCGACTGCACCCTCAAAGACCTAATTCTATTATTTTTTATTTTATTACAGCAGCAATACAGTGGCTTCTAGCTGCTTCTCTTCTGCTTCCTTATGTTAAACATTATTTTTTAATGCCACTCTTAGGAGTTGTAAAGTGCAGCTTAGGCAGGAATTTGTAGTGACGGATAATGGGGTCTGTTCTCAGGTCCCAGATTCTGAGAAGGACTTGAAAGGACTCATGGAGGAGATGGCCCCTTTGGGAGCAACCAGAGAATCACTGAGATACCACTGGAAACAGGAGGTTCAGCCAGAGGAGCCGACTTTGAAGGGATCACAGAGCTCACACCAAAGACCAGGGGAACAGTCAGAAGGTAAGCAGAAGCCTCTGTTCTCACCTGAGACAGGTGAGGAACAATCATTTATTGGAAACAAAGGTCTCGTCCACCCAAGGGTTCCAGACAAAATGCCTTTGAAATATATCCCAGAAGTGGCCAGGCACGGTGGCTCATGCCTGTAGCCCCACCACCTTGGGAGATCAGACAGGCAGATCATCTGACGTCAGGAGTTCAAGACCAGCCTGGCCAACATTGTGAAACCCCGTTTCTACTGAAAATACAAAAAATTAGCCAGGCGTGGCAGGCGCCTGAAATCCCAGCTACTCAGGAAGCTGAGGCAGGAGAATTGCTTGAACCCAGGAGGTGGAGGTTGCAGTGAGCTAAGATCGTGCCACTGCACTCCACCCTGGGCCACAGAGTGAGACTCCGTTTCAAAAAAATAAAAAATATATCCAAAAGCAAGATTACAAATTTCTGTTGAGCGTAATGGCACTTAAAGTAGGGACAGAGAGGCCAGGCGTGGTGGCTCTCACCTGTAATCCCAGAACTTTGGGAGGCTGAGGCGGGCAGGGAAGACCACAAAATCAGGAGTCTGAGACCAGCCTGGGTGACACAGAGAAACCTCGTCTCTACTAAAATACAAAAAATTAGCCAAGTGTGGTGGCGGGCACCTGTAATGCCAGCTACTCGGGAGGCTGAGGCAGGAGACTCACTTGAACCTGGTGGGGTGGGGGGCAGAGGTTGCAATGAACCAAAATCAAGCCACTGCA